TAAAAAGTCATTTCAATTTTCTTTTCTGTAAGCTTTGTATTTATATACTTCGGCCATTTTTATAATGGTTGTAGGACTTTTTTTGACTTGGAGCAGCGAAGCCCCCATCGTGTGTGCAAGTGAAGTACTGAGATTAACCTTCTCAGACACACTCTCAAGCCTGATGCTACAGCAATTGATTTAAATGGTAAATCTATTTATGCGACTGACCTATTAAAATCGCTTGGGTGGCTCCTTATTAACAAAATAATCTCAAACCTCGTAAAATAGTAATGTAAAGCCTTCCAACATCTGGCTCATATTTATCTCTTAATTCTCAGCTTTAGTCATCAACTAGTTCACACTACTCTTGCAACACTGAACTGCTTCACATACCATGCTGCTTTCCCAATGCTGTATTCTATTCCTAAAATACATTCCTCTTGGCCCTTATTTCACTCACCAGCCTCTTATCCACTATCATAATCACAGCCTTTTCTGAGTTCATTTCTACTTATCCTCTGTGATGCATTTAAACCATAACTTCTTTTAATCTCTTAAGGCAGAGTCTGGTGCCACTCCTCTGCACGCTCAAATTGCCTATTGTAACTATTAAAATTATCTGATTGGGGCACCTGGGTAGCTTAGTCGGTTAAGTGTCTGACTCTTGATTTCAGCTCAGGTCATGATCTCAGGGTTGTGAGATTGAGCCCCATGTCGGGCTCTGCACTGGACATGGAGCCTGCTTGGGATTCTCTCTCTCCCTCTTCCTTGCAAATACTCCTCCTCCCTCTTTTAAAAAAATATATCTGATTATGTGACAGTCTTTCCACTGGGCTGAGAACTTATTGTTAAGGACTCTATTAATCTTTGAATTCCTAGAATGTAGCATGTATACATCAATACTGTTTATTAAAAAAATGAATGTACCCACCAAATAAACTAGGATAACCTTCCCCAGGGATAGAGAATTAGAAAAAGTGTGGGAGGAAAAATGGATGCAACAGTGTACTCTTCTTCCTAACCACTCCCTGCTTTTCACCAAACATACTTTAGGCAGGTGTATTAGTTTTGAATATGGTTATACCAAGAAGCAGTGGAGATACTATGTCTAAAAAGGAAAATGCACACACATGTGTGTGTATTTGTGTGTGTTTTCAGAAGGTCATTAAGATGGTAGAGCACATGCAAAAAATAAATACCTGTAATTAAAAAATGCATACAAATGAATTGTTCCAGAATGTGAAAAGTATTATCAGAGCCTGGGAGAATTCATGCCTCTCAAGAAATAAAGAATATTTTCATCTGAGATGAACTAGTGTAATTAGTATGGGTTAGCAACCAGCATCATGATGGAGACATAATTGATATTTTGAGGAGTAGTTTTTAAAGTTTATTCCTCCTGTTGAATGACTCAGCTGTTTCAGAAAACAAAACCAAATAAAAAGTACAAATGAATGGATGAGTATGCCATGAAGGCCATTCTTAGATGATCAAAGCTCTGACTATTTTAGTTACTGCCAGTATTACACATGTCCCCTTCATAAATGCTACTCTAAACGGTTAACCAGCACAACATTGGAGGTCTGCCTGGGCTCTTTGCTTGGGCTGAGGGTCCCAGAAAATTAGAAGAATTCTGAGAATCAGTATGTTCTCTTTTTTTCCGCCGTACTGTTATCATCACGGTTACCTCAAGAGAAGGAGAGATTTAATTCAAAATACTGGACCTGAATCTTTTGTTTAGATTATCTGATCTCACTGAACTCTTGCTGAAAGTAGATCAGAGAAAAAAAGAAGGAGAGGGTCCCCAGGCTCATACTGATGGCCAGTTTCCTGCATTGTGGGCAAAATCCATTTCTAAATCCATCAACCATTTTACGTAGGGCACCAAATTATAAGAGACAGATTAAAATAGACTTAAGGTGGAAAAAGAATAGTGGGGAAGAGAGAGAGATGTTTTGTTATATTTGTTTTGTTCTAGACTACTGGGGGCTTCCATACTCAAAGAGTTAAACAACCAGCCTCAGAAAATAAGAACTAAGGCAATTCTGGCCTTCAGGCAATGAAAACCAGGGATGCACACTGTCAGCTCTCTCTCTCTTTCTTTCTCTCTCATTTCTGCTTCTCTTGGCCTGTTGGTTTCACTCTTTCTTATAAGCCAGTGACCGTACATGATGGGAAATACTGATTCTAACAGCAATGGGTTCAGAACCTCACAGCTTCGGATTAGAGAAAATAGAGATTTTACTCCACAGTCCCTGAAATGAAGTATTCCTGGAACATAATGCAATTAGCCAGGCTCAGCCTGAACCACACAGCCACCACTTGGCTAAGTCAATATGACTTGTGGGGGCTGGGGGTTGGGGCACTATGATGGTTCCACCTTGGATTGTGTCTACTCCTTTGCTTAATTATTGCATTTGACAAGGGCTAGTGTCAAGGGGTGTGGAGGTGCTCTATGAGAACCACGGGGTGGGAGCTAGTGAAGGGGGGATTATCAACAGCAAAAAAAGGGAGGAACTGGGGCAGCAAAAAAAAAAAAAAGACATCAACTTCAGCAACCACCAGAATAACATTGATTTTATGGGACATTATGTTCTGTTTCAGCAGTGCTCCTGACAAGTGAACTTTGTGAACTTACAAATTGGAGACCGCCTATATCTGAAAAATTACTCAAGGGAAAAAAGGACAATGGTTGTGGGAGAAAGTGCATCATGTCATTTATCATCTGTTTTCCCCTTGAAGAACAGGCGTGGCTTTCCTTTGGGTTTCTGGTCGTTCCAATGAGGTTGCTTCCTTAGTTGATAGGCCAAAGCCATTGCCCTTTAGGTCAAAGCCCAAAGTCAGTCTGATTGTCAGCAATAAAATCTCTCCTATCCTCTGAGGAGTGAATCAGGACATTCTTTAGAGTGTCAAACATATAAATTATCTTGTTCACAGGTCAATATTTACTACATATGATATCAAAGTATAAATTAACAACATACAAATAGTATATAGTCTCTATAGTTTATTCTAAAATAACTGCCTTAAGGTTCATGTTAGAATGTTCCCTGTGATGAAAGTTTTATAGTAATTATTCTTATACTATATAGACATATTTTGGTTAGATAATTACTACATGGAAACAATATGGTGTGTAGTGTATTTGTTTTTTATAGAAATGCCAAAATAATATAAATTAACACACCCCAAAAGCCACACTATGCTTTCTTGACCGTATAGCCCTGTCCTAGGGCACCTGAGTAACTCATCTGTTCTGAAGAAAAACCTATAGGAATACAATGTAGGAAAGTTACTCAGATTTTTGGCAGATAACTCTGGAAAGATTTTTTAAAAGTCATTTCATGCAATTGCTTTGCAAATGTTAAAAAAAAGGAACAAGAACATGGAAAGTTTCCCAAGATGCAAAATGCAAAATCCAACAATCACAACTGAAATACAATTCATAACAGCTACCAGATTCTCAACAACTTCCTAGTTGTTGGAAAAAAAGTAACTTTTTTTTGTTTGAAAAGTTAAAATACCCTCCTCCCAAGTTTTATTTTCTTTCTTTCCCTTAACTGTGAAAGAATGTAAGATTTCATAACAGCAGACATTCCGCTTGCTTTTGATTGAGTCACTTTATGCAGATATTTGACCATGTTGAAAAGAGAATTGAGAAAGAAAATGTTCTTCCTATCACTGACATTCTTTAAACACTCACTGGAGCATCTGAGGTGACAGCATGGTCATAGAGGCTATCACGCTCTGTGATTTGGTTGTAACTAAACATTCACTGTCAGAGCCATTGAACTAAAGAGTTTTACATTGGAAGCCCTGTACAGACCCAGTGTGAAACAGCTCAGATTTTAAGTAACCCTCAACTTGTATGGGGTCTGACCTTAGTCTTGTAGTTTAGAAAAAAAATAGGTTATAAACCTTGCCCTGTCTTCAACATTTAAAATGCTTCTGTGGGGCACAAATGGTTTATTACTTTCTTAGCTCATGGTAAGAAACCCACGAACATTTAAATCTGCTCTCTTACAAAACTAAACTTAGCCTCATTTTGACAGTTTACTTTGGCCTAAAGTATTTCCTTTAGTCAGATACCTTCAACAGTCTAACTCATCCACTGGCATGGATGGAGTGTTAAATGGAATTAAGGATTCACAAGCTCATGTGATTATCATTTCAATTCAAAGGAAAATTTGACCTCTGGGAACTGAAAATGGACTTATTTCATACAGTTTGTGGTTATTCTTGTGATTTAATTTTGACTAATTGTCTAATGATCATGTCTATCTCCCCCAACTTTTAGCCAGACCTCTTGAAATTCACAGTTTTAGAAATTCTGTTGGGAGAAGCAATGGCAAGTCCGAAGGCATTGAATGTCTTGAAATTCAGTATTTTTTTTTAATGCAGAGAGGCCATAATTGGAATTACTATATATTAAACAGTTCAGTGTTGATTTCATATGTTTTGATATATTTTTCCTTTTTTTGTAACTAGCTGAGATTGAACAGTGAAAGAAGTAAAAAGAAAATGACATCAAATTCAAGGTCAACTTTTAAGATTATTTATTTATTTATTTGACAGAGACACAGTGAGAGAGGGAACACAAGCAAGGGGAGCGGGAGAGGGAAAGGCAGCCTTCCCACTGAGCAGGGAGCCCGATGCGGGGCTCGATCCTAGGACCCTGGAATCACGACCTGAGCCGAAGGCAGATGCTTAACGATGGAGCCACCCAGGCTCCCCAGTAAATAAAATCTTCAAAAAAATTAAGGCTTAGACATTTAGGAACTGGTACTTGTTATTAGTATTATTTTTTTTTTAAGATTTTATTTATTTGAGAGAAAGAGAGAGAGAGCACATGAGAGGGGGGAGGGTCAGAGGGAGAAGCAGACTCCCTGCTAAGCAGGGAGCCTGATGCAGGACTCGATCCTGGGACTCCAGGATCATGACCTGAGCCAAAGGCAGTGGCTTAACCAACTGAGCCACCCAGGTGCCCTTGTTATTATAATTTTTGCAAGAACTAGGATTTATTGGCTGGCGTGAATAAGGAGGGGGCAGTGCCGAGGTTCGCATGAGGACAGAGCCCGCCATCTGTCCAGGGGGGCAATGATTAGGGACGTTTTTGACCCACAGCCATCTGGGATGAGCTGCTTTTCAGCCACTATGTCTTCAAATTCATCCGCATTAAACTTAGTAAAGCCCCACTTCTTGGAAATGTGGATCTTCTGGCGGCCAGGGAACTCGCCCTTGGCCCTGTGTAGGGCCTCAATCACATCCTCCTTGTTCAGCAGCTTTCTACAAATGGAGTTGATGACTTGGCCAATGTGGACCCTGGCCACTGTGCCCTGGGGCTTTCCAAAGGCACCCTGCATACCTGTCTGGAGCCTGTCAGCCCCAGCACAGGACAACATCTTGTTGATATGGATGCCGTGGAAGGGGTAGAGCCACACTTCGATGTGAAAAATATCTTTGCCACAGTTGTTCACCACGTACTTGCGGGCACAAACTCGGGCAGTTTCCGTGGCTTCAGAGGAAGGCTGCTCATATTCATCTGACACCATGTGGCCACATGGTGGGAACTCATTCACTTTTGCCTTCTTCCGCCCCAGGTCAAAGATGTGGATCTTGGTGTCAGGGGCACCTCTGCAGAAGGGAGACTTTGGATACGACTTGTTCCTATTGGTAGTATTCTTACAATAGTGGTAACAGCTGGTAGGGACATGGCCCATGGAGACACCAGGATCTCTTGGGTCTTTGCTTAGGTTTCCGCTTGTACATAGCTTTATTGTATTTCTTCCTCCTTTTACAAAACCATTGCTTTATCTGTTTTACTGTCATGTTAAGTTCAAATGCAAGTGATTGGCTATCTTCTCAAGGTCAACTTTTAATTCCAGCCCTAATACAAAATGATATGTCATCTAGAACAAATTATTTCAATTATCTGAAATTCAATTCTCTTTGTATCATTTAATGACAGCTGCTGTAACAAACAACTGCAAAACCTCTTTATTCATTATTAAAACATAATAAAATATATTTTCTGATCACAAAATCCAAAGAGAATTTTCTTATCAGATGACTCTTGAGATAGCACCCTTTCAGGTAGTAATTTAGGGACTAGTCCTATTTCATATTATGGCTCTGTTATTTTAGAATCTTTCCTTTTTGGTTCCAAAGACAGGGAGAGAGAGAGCAAGGAAGACCCTGTAGGATGATTCAGGAGCCAGACTTAGAAATGGTTTATGTCATATCATGGCTTATATCATTCCACAGATAAGAACTCCATCACATCCACAAAGTGGATAACCTGTATCAATTTTGAATGTTATCAAATAAATTTTCATATCATATTAATACTAAATGAATTCCCTAGACGTAAGATAAGTGGAAATGATGGACATGTAGCATTACCTTTGCCACAAAAAGTAAATGAATGAGGTTAAATGAGCTCTACATCCTCCTTCCAAAGTCTGTAGTTCAGTGAATAAAGAGAAAATACAGGATAAGATTCAAGGAAAGCAGAACTAGTCAAAGTTGCAAAGAGCAGCATTCAACACTGGACTGTCAATCTGCAGGGGGCCAGAACCATGTGTGATATTTCTCATAATTTCCCACATATTTACATGCAACATATGGGCACTTATTAATGTTTGCCATTGAAGGTCCTTAAATTAAAGCTGAGAGACTTAAAGGTGGGATGAAACTGGTGAAAGGAGTAAAATAAAGACTGGGTACTCTTGAAGACAAATTTTTTTAACCTCAATATGTGAGCATTAGCCACTCTTGGCATGGAGAAAAAAGTCAATATGGAATTAAACAATCAGCTCCAAAAAGAATCCCACCTACCCGCCTTTATGTGAACATCTCCATTTCTGTTGAAGGACGTGGTTCACATCCTCAGTTATGGCAATACAATCACATATATTGTAACAATGAGGTTCTTTCTAGGGAAAAGGACAGGCCCTTAAAGCTCCTCAAAAACTTTTATTTTAGAGTTTTATATTTTATATTGGGTTTGTTTGTTGTTAGTGGTAGTTTTCTGTTGTTGTTGGGTTTATTTTTTGGTTTTTTATTTTGTTTTGTTTTTTCATTTTTTTTTTTAGATGAAAAGCAAACACTTATAGATCAAAGAGTCTTGCTTTTGTAGGAAGTTTTCCAGAATCCATAAACTATCCATGAGGACAATTCTTCAAACACACAATGATTTCAAGAAAATAAAACAAAGCTGTTGGACTTCTGCCCTGTGTCGTCAGGGACAAAGGCGTGTCTCTCAATTAGAAAACTCTTTGCTATAGCCTAGCCTCATGACTTGAAGCTGCCTGCTGATTTCTATCAGTTCTGATGCCAATCTGAGCCTGGTCTCTAAATTCTAAAGTGACAGTGGATACATTGTCTTAAAAACATTCCTACTCTCTCACACCAATAGAGAAACAGAGGAACTTTGGGGAAATTTAATAATAGCCAATATTTATTAAGTACTTATTTTGTGCCAAGCACTGCTCTAAGATGTTTGTATGTATTAGCACAATTAATCCTTTCTTTGAGAGAAAGTTACTATTTTAGACCTCATTTCTTTAGATGAAGAAAGTAAAGAACAGCAAAGTAGCACACTTGGAAAAGAAGTAGAGCCAGAATTCAAGCTCTCATATTTTGGCTTCAGAATCAAGTTCTTAACTGCATCACATATTGCCTGTGGTGACATAGAATACCACAAGCAGTCATCTTCAACCAAGAAAAAAGTCTGTCCTGAGGGGAAATGCTTTCTCTTGAAAGAAGATGATGCATCCACTTGGAAACTGAGGGTAAGAGATACATTCTAGTAGTCTGTGCTCTAAGATATGTCTTCCAGCATCTCTGACATGTAAAGAGCTTGAAAGTCAACACTCCCATCTTTATAACAAGAAAAAACTGAACGAACTACAAATCAACTCTTGGACCTATCAGAGAACTAAGGTTGTAGGGAAAACTACCACCCACATATGGACACAAAGGTGACCTCAGAGAGTCACAGCTGAGATCTGCTTACCTGAAGAATAGAAACAACTGGAACTATAAACCTGTAGGCATGGTTAAGTGTAATTTTGATAAATTTCTGCAGACTGAGTTGGACTAGCCTGTAGGAGAGAAACTCTTGGTAGCCACAGTCTTATGGGACCCCACAGTTTCCCGGGCTTTACTTCCAGGAAACCCACCATGTTCTCATGGTGAAATGTTGAGAAAGATCCCCTCCCAGCTCTAGCAGGAAAAGGGGAAGAGCAACAAGGTAAAATACCCCTAAAACATTCTCCATAGCAAAGGCCTACTCTCTAGGGAAAAATAAAACTTTACCAGAGCCTAATCCCACCTGCCATAAGGGCATTTCTCTCACTTCATCACTCTGTAGCTTTCATGATTCACCTAAGGGGGTGAAGGATCTCAGAAACACATGTGAAGGCATGCACTTTCGAGCCCATTTGATGCCAGGTCATCATGAAATTCAATCCCTTTGTGATCTAGGACTGCAGTAAAAAACACAAACACGCTTTAGGGTCCTCTTGCATATGCCCAAGAAGATCATGTCTGCCAGCTCTTCAAGCAGCTGCAGTAGAAAGACAATGTCTGCTCCATGCCTGTTCACAAGGATGATGAGGTCCAGGTGGTTTAGGGACACTACAACGATCATCGAGTTGGCATGGCAGTCCAGGCTTAGGGAAAGGAATATATCATCTACACTGAATGGATGAAGCCTGAGAAGCTAACAGCATAACTATTCATGTGGGCATTAACCTGAGCAGGTTATCATCAGGCTAAAACTGAACAAAGAGGAAAAAAAATTCTTGAGTGCAAAGCCAAATCTTGACAACTTGGAAAAGAGAAAGGCAAATATAAAGAAGAACTTATTGAAAAAATGCAGAATTGAATATAATCTGTTGTGTATCCATAGTTTAACTGTAAATTTTTAGGTAGTATAGGCTCCTTTGGAACATTTCAAAATGTCTCTGGAACATTTCATTTCCATCCCGTTTTGCTACTCATCTGTAGCTCTATAAATCTACTTTTGCAATTTTGATTAATAATTCTATGAATGAAAGTTAAAAGTGTCACCCCCACACACACACCCTTGAAGGTCACAGCTCAAGGACACAGGATTACTAAAAGAAAGATTTAGTCATGAGATTACAGAATGGTTTTTTGCCCAACCTTAGATTAGTACTACACTAACAGAGCTGCAGCAGAATAACAGTGGATTGCAGTTGTTAGTTTTGCAAGACACAGACTCTCTATAAGGAGTAGTACTTAGGAAAGTCCAATGTCAACAGGGGGAAAAAAAACAAGAACATTAGATGCATTTGAAGCCTCTGGCACCTACAGCTACAATAAACATTAGACACAAGCCACTCCTACCTAGATTAACACAAACTTCACACTAAAGGATTATTTAGTTTACTTCCTGTTCTCCAATACATAATGTCAGGCTTTCAATAAAAATGACAAAGCATGCTACAAGGCAAGAAAAAACAGTTGGAAATGGGCGCCTGGGTGGCTCAGTTGGTTAAATGGCTGCCTTCAGCTCAGGTCATGATCCCAGGGTCCTGGGATCGAGTCCCGCATTGGGCTCCCTGCTCAGCAGAGAGCCTGCTTCTCCCTCTCCCTCTGCCTGCCTCTCTGCCTACTTGTGCTCTCTCTCTCTATCTCTGTCAAATAAATAAATAAAATCTTAAAAAAAAAGAAAAGAAAAAACAGTCAGAAAGGACAAAGAAAGAATTAGACTCAGATATGGCAGAGATGTTGGAATTATCATACTGAGAATTTAAAATAAATATGATTAACATGTTTCTCTAATGGAAAAAGTGGACAAGATGTAAGAACAAATGAGTAATGTAAGCAGAGAGATGGAAACTCTAAGAATCAAGAGGAAATGCTAGAAATCAAAACCAGAATGCTTTCCATGGGCTCATCAGTGGACTGGACATGGCTGAGGAAAGAAGCAGTGAGCTTAAAGATAGATCAAGAAAAACTTCTCAAACCATCAAGAAGGTGAAAAGACAAGGTAGATAATGAAAGGAAAGTTTTCCAAATCATGTATCTGATACGGGACTTGTATCTAGCAAAGAGTCTGACTCATGGTAAAAAACCTATGCATGGTTTCTCAGGTCTGAGCATGGGCAGTGACATGATTTGTCAGGCAGACCTCATGGTGGACAGCTGTACTCTGCACACCAGACTGGGTGCATGGCTGGTACACTGCAGTTTCTGAAGGGAATTGTACTTAAGGACTCAAGCCTCTATGAGTGGTCAAGGGATCATGCTCTTTGCATATTTATGTTCCTGGCCCCAGTGCTTTCATTCTTAGCTCATTTCATCTGAGGCCTTGGACAGATCTTCCCAAAGACCTCTGCTGAGAACTTCTTTTACAGGGGAGAGGAGGACACCTGTAACACACTTTTCCCTACTCTAACCCATTACCCAGTATTTTCACACTCCTAGTATTTCCCTCCCTCCCTTGCCCCACCACCACCATCCATAATACTGCCAGAGAGTTTTGTTTGGGCTTCCTCAACCTTGAGACAACCCTACATTCATGCTGAACCACCTGACCCTCAACTCATACATCATACCATGGAGAAAAATGGGAAAGGAGAGTGCTCTTTCTCCCAGCTCAGCTGCACTCATGACAGCTAAAATACATTTAAAAAATTTTCAACTTGGGTGCCTGGGTGGCTCAGTCAGTTAAGCGTCTGCCTTCAGC